GCCACTGGATATTATACGATGTCCACGGTCGATTTCAGAGACACATTATGCTTTTGCCCTGGTGGGGCTGAGATAAGAAAATGTATGATTAAGATGACCGGAAATGGCACTCGGACATAAAATTGTGAATATAATTTTCTTTTCTTTTTCTCTCCATTTTTATATTGTTTTGACAAATTTGGTGGGGTGCCGGGCCGAGAGGGCCCCTCCCTTTAACCCACCACTATATGTAATACGATATATGCCCTACAGTCGATTTCAGACACACATTATAGTGCCACCGGTATGTATCAAAAAGTCCTTTCTGGTCAGGGTGCTAAATCGAGGTAAGGATTGCAGCCCTGCGGACCACCGCATGAGAGCACACAGGCGTTACGCCACTGTTTGTGATTAGTATAGTATAACATGCGTTATATACATTTATGTCTTCCCATTTTGTAAGTGGAAGGCGCTGTGGAATGATACGTTATGTAAAATATGTAAACAAATAGGCCTAACTAACAGTAGACTATTTTTCTCCTAGGGGTTAGGATGCCTCGGCTACTGGACCCCAACATTACCGTGCATAAAACGCTGTCTACGGAAAATTGTCAGACAATCACAGCGGATTCGAGGGGTGAGGCGCCCCACCCCCAGGTCACCCTATACATTTTTCAAAATTAAAAAATTCGAGTTAAAAGAAAATTAAAAGTCCGAGAGCGCAATTTCGAGCCGTCTAGAGATGCCATTGTCACAAACCATGGTAGGGCTGCAAGTGGTATAAAGCCTCCATCTGTGAAAGTCCTTCCCTTCCCCCTCCCTCTAATTAAAGACCACCTCCAATTAAAGACCACTTTTCAATGGTCCCAATTTAACAAACAAAGTCTTTTATCTTTATGATTCTACTTACAGACTAAAGCTGCTAAAACCATGGAAAGCCCGGTCCCAAAAGTGGTGATCTTTACAGTAATAGGAGGGCGACCTGTATTGTATTATTAGCATACCGGTAACTATAATGAAATATAGAAATTTTAATTATTCAAAACATGTTTTATTGGTATATAAATAACTAGTGTGGTATAACATACTGAAGTCTAGTTTGATTAACTGGTAATCTATTCAAGATGCAAGAAGTGATTTTAAGGATCATTATAATTATGATACAGTAGCATGCTAAAGTGTTTACAGAACTACTAGTCATGCTTCATTATGGAGGAAGTACAAAGTCCGGTCTGAGCCAGCCGCAAATCTTGGAACGTCACCTTGACGATTATTATCCAAACAGTACACTCCTCTGGGGAGATCTGCCAACCTACCAGTTGTCTAATAAAAGAACACAAACAATGGGTTAAAATGATTTATTGGATAAAATGATTGACATTTCGACAGAGATACTAATATTAACATTCTTGTATAGTAGTAATATGAACAAGAGAAAAAAAAAACAACTGTGTTTACTGTAAAATGATTGATATTTCGACAGCTAGATACCAATAATAACATTCTTGTAATAGTAGTATGAACAAAAACAAAAGTATATACAATAAAAATATGACAATATGAGGAAGTATAAGAAAATAGAAGTTTTATATCAGGGTTAAACGGAACAGGATGGATATAAACAAACTTTCTAAAGATGATGCAATTTCATGCAATTTTTACTGTGTGTAGTTTCATTGAGAAGGTAGTAATTGTAAATTTTTTACAATTGAATGCTTTCTTTCATTAATTGTTTTGGTTTTGGTTTTTTTTTTAAATATTTGCCTACTCACCTGAAGAGAGTCTATGACTCGAGTCAAATTGGCTTCACAACCGCCAACCAAAATATTGTCCTTTCCCAACCACTATGCACAATACAACTTGAAAGACAAGAACATAGTAGGTAGTACTGCAGATAAGCTCTTTCCACAATATCAATATTATAATAATTCACATTTAAAATACATTTATTAAACTCATCTTAACTGTACATATTGAATACCAATAAATGGGTTTACACATGCATGATCAGTCTATTGGCCAATCTGTACATTCAATGAAAAGTTTTTTTATTTTTTATTAAATTAAAAACAGTGATAACAACTGTCACTAACTGGTTGAAATACAAATAAATACAAAAACACATACAATATCTATATACAGGTATAAAAATACCTTAAAAGTACTAATTGCCTTTGATTTATATACATACTGTCAAAGAAAATATCAATATTAGACATACAAAATGTATTATCTATTACATAAACGTTTAAATAAATCTCTACATGTATCATCAACACGACTAAAAGGTGGGTTTAAAAGACCTCTATTTTGGGTACGCAAAGGCACATGTAAATTAAATAAACTTAGAATCATAATCAGAATTTATCAGAGCATTCTACGATCACTAAGCAAATTAATATTGAGCATTGCATATGGTAATTAGCACATGCTCAGAAAAATTTAACTGAGTTATGCTGTTTGTATTGACTTTTCTTGAAGGCTTGAAATGGAAAAACACCAAAGTGTTCTTTCTGGAAAACAGGGAAGTGGTCTTTAATTAGGGATCTTTAATAAGGTGGAGAATTGTGTAACAGAAAAACAGCTTGGTTAATCATCATGGGCAACATTTGTTTGGTAAGAACAAAAAGAATGTGCAGTACTTAGGAAGTCCAAACAGGGCTTAAAGCATGTAAGAATAAGTGAATTCTGATTTTTAAGTACTAACTAAAGCACATATACTACATATACACCCTAAAGCTAATTTGGTTTGTTTATTATCAAACAAAATATTAGATGACTCATCACAGTATTCTCAACAGTATTGCAGAAAACTGCTGACTCATTTTTTTCATTGATTACTATCTACATCGTCCATTTACGAAACTACGGTAAAGTGTTCACACAAACGGCGTTCGCTATATTAACGCTGGCGTTAAACTAGTAGTAATATAGGCCTATGGGGGAATAGTTTTAAGTTTTAAATAATGTACGGGTTCTTAACTGTAGTAAAATTAACAGTGCATCAGTAAAACTTTTAACTGTGAATTGTTCGAAGTGAACTTATATGATTATTGTATTTTAAATGAATAATTTTACTTTGATTTTTCAGCTAGCATTGTTGGTGTTGCAGGTTTTAATAGACAGTCTAAATAGGTTAAATATCTTACAAAACACAATCAACAAATCATATACATTATAACTAAGTAAAATGCAATAGAAAAAGAACCCCTTTACCATTTCATTTACAGAGAGCACAGGAAAGAGACCAAAGTAGCTAATTGAAATCGTGATTGGTCAATCTCTTGAAATGAGGTGAAATCATGAAATCATGAAATCACGCCATGCTTAAGCCAACCTTACGCCGTGTGTGTGAACATAGCCTGCGGTTTCGTAAATCCACAAAAACCCTTAAAGTCAAAACAAGAATCTAACAACAGCTGGGAGGCATGCAAGAAATCTGCTGACTCATTATTGTTGTCATTTTCACCAGTTAAATTGTGCATTTACAAAACTACGGTAATAAAAAATCAACAACACTCAGAATACAGTAAAATATCAAGAAGAATATAAGAGATATAGCCGAGATGCACACAGATAGGTTAGTAAATATTGGGCAACTCCAAACCTTACATTTAAATTATGACTCAATGGACAAACAGATGACCCAACCCTAGGGTATGCTTCTATAAGGTGAATTTCCCGCCGATTAATATAGCGGCACTGGGTAAAGACAAACTTGATTTTTTGCTTTAAACATGGTATCCATTCATAGAAATATGATAAAGATAGCCTATAATGTGACTCTAAAATAGTTGAGACCAGGACATATCTCCGACTTTAAATTGGCAAAGATCGAAATATAATTGTTAACTGTAGACACAATAATGTATACATACATAAACCAGCCTAGAAAACATGAAAAATGTATAATCTAATAAATAAGCTTAACAATATAAAAGAAAAGTAGGTAGGCCTACCGGGTATGTGTTAAGTATTCTGTTTTGTGGTCTATAGATAGACAACAAAACAGAATATTCTGTTTTGTGGTCTATAGACAACAAAACAAAATACTTACACACACCTCTCTATATATATTTAAGCATATCTATTATTTTACACATATTTTTACGCTTTGTAGGCTGATCTATGTATAGGTCTACATTGTTGATTTGATACAGAATGACCCATGACTCTATGTTTTGATGTACAGTATGCATAGTTGATTTTGAAGTCAATGAAAACAATAATTTCAAAACCTAATGCAAAGTATATATACTATTTTTTATAGTATACCGTACTTGAGATACTCAAAATCCTTTCTATTGGTTTCTTATAACCACATAACATTCTAAATTTAAATAACAATAAATAAAGGGAAACTAAATATTTGGCAAGACTTTCCATATTCCAGAGACAATATAACCTCTTCAAACCAGTGTTACACAAGGCGAATTCATTCGCACAAATCAAAAGCGTTGGTTCACTTTCTGAGCTCTGAATAATATAGAGCTTATAGGGTTATTCTTGCTCTCATTGTTTTGTGTTTTTATGTACTTGTATTTTGTTTTGATATAATAATAATGAGGGCAATAAATATTAAACAAACAAACAAACAAAATCACTGAATTAAATGCGAAAATACCATGAAAAGATATAGGCTACAGGATGCGATGCGGATTGATTTGTAAACATGTCAGCCAATCCAATTTGTATTATAGAAGATAGGAGACGTTCACTAATCTTTTTGACACGACGTCATATCATCATGGATGAAAATAATGTGCCATTTTACGTCATTATGGCCATATTTAGGCGTGTCACACGTTTTGGAAAATAAACTTTGGAAGTCTGGGCAGGGCGTAACACGATTAAGTAACATATATTAGTTTTTTTTGTAGTAGTAGTAGATCTGATGTATCAATCCGCGCGGTAATTTCCATTGCTAAATATAGATTAATAATAGAGTATTTGGTATGGTATTGTAAAGTAAATCCATTCGTCTGTGGAGTTGTCGCAGAGAGTTGATGTAAACAGTGTAACTGATTTTGATTAAACATTGTTTGTCATCGTCCTCATGTATAATACGTCCATGTCATGAGGTATTCTAGACTATCTTTATATAGAACGATTGAAGTTGAACTCTTGCTATATGAATATTACAGATCTGTTAAGAAACGCATGAAATGTAGTGCTGATTTAGGCCTAGTAGGCTTTGTTGACTAGGCTGAAACAAGCTCACAGTATGGAAGGCGAATTCTGGAACATGGGGATACTCAATCCAGAGTTATTTCAGAGCAACTCACCCTGGTTGGATGTTGTTAAGTGCTTATTGACGATCGTTTTATTACAAATGTTTACGTATGGGGAAAAAACATGGAGAATATACTTTCATAAGGCTTTGATCAACATTTTGTATCACAGAGGTATATATACTTATTTTGTAGTCAATGTTTGCTATAAAAATAGGACGGGTCTTGAAGAATAACCATAATAAACCATAACCGCAAGACGATTTAAAGTTTATCTCGACTTTACACTTAACACTTCTTATAGGGCCTATAGGCCTAAGGCCTATATTATATCAATCATTTTATATAAAATAAGATAGTATACATAATTATTTTGTAGTTAATGTTTGTTATGAAAATAGGACGGGTCTTGAAGAATAACCATAATGATAATGAATAAATGCGAGACGATTTAAAGTTTATCTCGACGTTACCGTCTCACATTTCTTAAGGGCCTATGCCTAAGGCCTTTATTAATTATTTTATATGAAATAAGATAGTATACATACTAATTTTGTAGTCAATGTTTGATATGAAAATAAGACGGGCCTTGAACAATAACCATAATAATAAACATAACCGCAAGACGATTTAAAATTCAACTCGACGTTACGTCTTACATTTTTGATAGGGCCTATTAATTATTTTATATGAAATAAGAACGGTTATACAAAATACAACGGTATATACTGACATTAGGCCTATACAGACATAAAATTGATCGAACACTTCGAGCACTCCTGTCCCTCCCTCAGCGGTACACGAGTAAACACCGTGCTTTGCTGCAGAAGAGCACACGAGTGCGTGAATTATTCGGATCAAATAAATGTCTCAATGTCAACATCTACCTTTCTAATTGTATAACCGTACTAATTTTATATTATCAAGACATACACGGAACCAACACTTAATGTTTGTATATAGGCCTATACATTTAAAAATTACAGGTCACCCTTTTGGAAAGTAAAAAGAAAAAAAAATGAAAAAAAATAAATAAATAAATAAAAAGAAATAATTGATCGCACCAAACGCCTCAGAGGTTATATTGGGGTGTCTAGAAAACAAAATTGTCGCGGGGCATGCCCCCGGATCCCCTGGGCTACTGTTGTCTCGATCTGCCCCACTTTCGCCACAACTCCCCTTTTTCGGACATCTCTGGATCTGTCCCTGACTGACAAGCAACAACAACTTCTTCTGTTATCAATCTTTGTTTTAAGCCTGGAAGCCTTATTATAATTAACATTTTTCAAGAAAAATACTTATGTTCTGTATTTGATCGAATATTTATGAGGCTACATCGGCAAAAAATTACGGGCTGAGACACAAAAACGAAGGTGTATACAATTGCCGTAAATTTATTTGAAACGAACACAACAGTTCATCCTGTCCATGGAGTACGGTATGCTTGCAAAGTTGGCACTTATCAATTACTGTACCAGGAAATAATGCATTTAATATTGAATTAATTAAAAAAGGACATTCCGTATTTTTGGCTCAACTTATGATTCAAGAATGGTCTACCTGCTGAAGGAAGACGTTCCAACTTTCGGAAACAAATTACTTCAATTTGAAACGTAACACAAGCCAGGGGCGGATCCAGTAGGGGGAACGGAGGGCACGTGCCCCCCTCCCCCGTTTTTCCACTAAATTTTAAAATTTCAAGGCATATATTGAAATTAGCGCTCTCACCTATCTATTGTGAATATGTTATGCCCCCCCCACCCCGTTTGAAAAATTCTGGATCCGGCCCTGCAAGCATCTCCTGCCACTTAATAAGTAAGTCAATAGTTTGCAGAACCGCTACCTTAGATCATTAAAGAATAATCTCTGCGACAGAAAAAATCAATATTCAGGATTTTTTTTTTTGGACAAAGTCCAGGATAGGTTAATATCAGCTTAAAATTAAATCAAGAATATTAACATACTTAACTCATATTAAATAAGAGATGGGAATGGTCAGATTAGGCATGATGATGATGATGATGATGACAATAATAATAATAATAATAATAATAATAATAATAATAATAATAATAATGATAATGATAATAATAATAATAATAATAATAATAATGATAATAATAATAATAATAATAATAATAATTATAATAATAATGAAGTTGATAATAATAAAGTGAGAGCGATAACGATAACAATAACAATAATTTATTATGATAATGGCAATGCTGATGATGATGACGACGACGGTGACGTTGATGACGCCGACGATGCTGATGTACCGTATATATTAATGGTAGGTAGTAGTACCGTAGCTAATACCCGCCGACCAATCAGTTTGCTTTGATTTCAGGGACTGACCAATAGGGCTCGCCACATAAAAATATAGAAAACAAATATTTAAAAAACGTAATCGTGTTTTCTTCCAGATGCCTTAAACATTTTCAGAATTAAGAATGTACTTCGGCATTCTTTAAATGAGGTGACAAAGAAGCTGCATGCCTTAGAAATACGGTTAACCAAAGAAAAAGAACAACATTCAAGAACAGCGGAGAAGCTAAAAATAAATTCTACAGTTCTTAAAGAGGAAAAAATAATCAGGAAAGAAACCGAACAAATATTGGCAGATGTCAACAGGAAATATACTAAAAAATGTGAATTATATGAAAGAGTAAGCTGGAAATATGAAGAGGCTATGGCTGAAGTGGTTAACCTAAAAAAAGTGAAGAAAATATATAGGTGTAAACTGTATGACAGCGAACAAAAATTGGGAGAAGTAACCGAGAAAAATACTGAACTCCGTAAATTATATAATCAAGAACGCCTAACATGTCGTGAACAGGCAGTGGCTGAAGCATCAAAAATAAGAAATTTGGAGAGAATGCATATGTCTAAACTGTATGAAAACGAACAAAGATTGGCACAAGTTACCAAGAAAAATACTGAACTTCGTAAATTATACGATCAAAAATGCATAGCACATCGTGCGCAGGGCGTGAACCTAAGAAAAGTGGAGAAAATGCACAGATCTAAAATGTATGAGTTTGAAGAAAAATTGGCAGATGCCATTAAGGAAAATACTGACCTACGTGAATCATATAAGAAAGAATGCTCAAAACGTGAAGAAGCGGTGACTGAATTGGAAAGCTTCAAAAAGTCGAACAGAATGTTTAGGTCTAAACTGTATGAGCAAGACACTAAGCTTGCCGAAATGAAAGATCATTTGGAGAGTTGCACACGTCGATTGGAAACAGCAAAGAATTTCGAAGAGGTTACCCTACGAGAAAAGCAAATGGCAGATAAAGAGAGAGATACGATTGCCAGAAATTTTGAAGATCTTAATGATGAAATGGTTATCGAAAGACGTAAGGTAACGTTCAGAGGATGGGTGAGCTGTTTTATATATAAGTCTAACGTAACTATCATCATCATCATCATCCTCATCATTAAGTAATTAAGACATATGGATGATGGAGTAAGAAGAAAACCTACCATTTTTGTACATTTCACTTGTGTCCTTATGCAAAATGCGCTAAAATATTGCATGCAACAAATTATGGAATTTCCCCCATAGGCATCGTGGCAATGACTGGGGTAATAATGTGGAAAAGCAATCTGAGACTTAGGCCAATATTATAATGAAAAATCAAAGGCAGTGGCGTAGAAAAATATTTTCATTTGGTGGGTGGTGGAG